CATGCGCGCGCGCACACACACATGCGCGCGCGCACACACACACACACGCGCGCACACTAATTACTTGTCTCTATGCTTATTCAACTGCACATTTTGCTAGAGCAGTTATAAATGATTTGTGTTCATTCTGAGTGTTTATATAGCTGGAATTATGTTTACGTCTATCCTGTTTTCGTAAAGAACTGTTGTAAAATTACAGGCTATAGGATTAGCAATATATGTCTGTCTTTCCCCATGAAGTTCGTTTAAATTTCTTCGCAAACAACTCGAGTGCAAATGCATGCATTGAGCATGCATCCGTCTGTATTGTAGAATTTACTCATGCAGGCACAGACTAGAAGGCTTACGTGAAAATGCGTATAAAACTGCAAGAAATGCTAACATTATAGATGAATGGTCATTTTATTCGTTGGACAGCTTTCAGAAAACAAATATTGCTATTGAGAAGAGCAGAAAATAACAAAACTAATAAAATATAGTGCTCCGTGAATATAGATAATGAATCATTAACTTATAAATTTTTAAATGTTTACGTCGTGGCTACCATGTCGGTGGTGGCATGCTTAGTCGGATATCGGCTAAGGTATCAAAGTGGGAACATATACTAATATATAAGCTATATCAATGTAGAGCGAATTATTTAATATGAGCCGAGCGCAGCGAGCGACACGAGCCGTTAACTTTACACCTATGTGGCGTCATAGGCTTATTTTAGCACATGACGACAGTAATGCACCATCCGCACGCAACAAGGCCTTGACCACCATCGGGCCACGGATTCCTGCAGATGCATAAAAACCAGCCGCATTGGGATTTGGGGACAGAGGACAGAAGCGAGTCACCAACGCTCTCTCTCGCAGTCTTCCACCATTGCTTCGATAGACAGACGATCCACTCGAGCCGCGCTGTTGTCAGTTATCATCGGACACTCCATATTCATATAATCTCAGTATTCAGTAAACATTATTGTCAGCGAAAACAGTCAACGAAAAGCAGCCACAGAAGATAAGCACTACGAAGACAACAGTGATGCGCATCAGTCGGATATCGCTCTCTAGCTATGTCTATTCATGTAACTATATGTAAATTAGGATGGTAACGACCAGCTTACCTACACCGTTAGGGGCAGGAGTTTGTTTGTTGTGTTAGGGAAGCACAAGGAAATTGTCAGGAACACTGAATACGTAAACATTTATATACAGTTATATACACACGTGACCGCCTTTGCGCGCCAAAATAAATCAGTCACTTCGTAGAATCCAAAGAACAAGTACTGTTCAACTCTTACGTCTATCGTGAACCTACAATTCCCCGCAGAAATGTATGGTGTAAAGCGGATCGCGATATTTTACTGAGCGTATTAATTCTTGGTTACGTGGCAAAATTAGTCAGAGTTATTTGGTTTAGCTGCCATGGATTTCTACAGATTATAGGGCTCACGGTTATGATTTTGATTTACGTGGAATTCGCGAAACATCAGGCCTTTTTGGTTTATGGCAGCCGACTGCTGAGCACACGATTTTTGTACTGCGTACGAAATCTGCTTTCATCCTTATTCCGTACCGTTCAGCTTGTAAATGATACCAGGGCTTCACGGATAGACAACTAGGCACTACTGACTGTAGGCAGTTGGGGGTTTAGGGGACTTGTACTTGGTCATGGAATTGCAATAAAGAGCTGACAAACAGGGAACAAGTATTCTGCGTTTCTTTCAAATATAACTATTGATCCTCCAATTTCTGCAAAACTGTGCAACATGCTATCGTACTGTTTACACGAGCGTCATTGCATGGAATGTTCAAACAAATGTTACAAAAAGTTGCAGTCAAGATTTGCTAAATCATGTATCATTGGCTTTAGAAATTCTTGACGCGTACATGTAAAAACCATTATTTCTATAGTAGTTTGATAGTGCACCACTAACATACCAACCAGTTAACCAATCACGACTCGTATATGAATAAGGAGCATACCTGCGAGAAACATTACAGTTCCAGTACCAATCACTAACTCTTTTCATGTAACAGCATAAAGCTGTGGTATTTTCCTCCTGTCTGCAAGCAGAAACCCTGTGACAGTAGCTACACTGTTTTGAAGTGTTGCTATATACAGGGTTTGTTTTCCGTGTATCAGATGGCCAACGCTTTGCTGGACCATGTAGGGTTGCAGACTTTCTCTCACATGCCTCAAACGCTTCATCATCAGAGGTCTCACTGCTGGATGTCACACTACTGGTCTTGCTGTTAGTTTCTGTGTCAGAAAAGAAGTCACCGGATCTTTCACTGGTTTCATATTCTTCAATGTGTTCAGCAGGCTGTCCTCTGTAATATAGTGCATTCTCGGACTTCTTCGTAGCAATTGAGGTTTCCTTATTATTTCCATCACCTTTGTAATGATCACGTGAAAATGATTTCTGCACTGCTATGCTATCAGGAAGCTGTTGGCTTGAAACCACGAGAGTTTCTGATGCCACAGACTTTTCATCCAACTTGGTTTGCATTTGTTGACTCTTACAGCCACCTACCGATTGCGAATCTTCCTTCTTTTTATCTGAAAACCTCGCTTTGTGAGTGACTGATGCGATACATGGTTCATTACTTATTCCGCTTCCTGCACTAGGTTGTGCCACCCTGTTAACATCAATGTCTTGGTTGTGCGTAGTTTGTATATTGTGACTAATTGCATCGGAATTTTCGATTAGGGGCTTAGATAGCATTGATTCAACTACTTTTGCATTCCTTTGTATTGTTTTTCCATTTGAGACATGTGATAACCAGGTGGACTGCCCACAAGGCTTCCTGCTGTTAGTTTGGTGGGTATTACCTGTGTGAATATCTACATGACTTCTAGTAGTGCTTGACAACCCTGATTCGGATGATTCCACTGTCTCACAGTCAGGGTTCTGACAATGCTGTATGCCGTTCTGCCTACATCTTGACTTTAGCAGTTTCTGATGGATTATTTCCCTAAGCTGGTTATCCTGAAAGTGTAGACACATGCTACACTTACTCCTCACTGCCACGGGGGCCACAAGATCTAGATTCTTTTGTATTTTACACTCATGGATATATTTATTTGGATACATTTCTTTGCCTTGTAACATCAAAAGTACCTCGTTTCTCACTGGTTCTGTGAAAGCAGTTATAAACACATCTAAATCATCTTTGATATTCTGAAATGAGTTTTGCTGCACTTTAGTCTGTGCTTTGATTTTGAGTAGTGGAGTTTCTGGGTGAGGCGAGCTGTACCCTACATTAACACTGCCTGATAGGTTGTTCACATATGAGGCATCTTTTTTGTTAGATATAAATACAGAGCAGGGTAATTCGCCAAGTGCATCACTAGTGTTACTAGCAATGTTAGCAGGAAGATGCCTTGTGCCATTACTAATAGAATGCACGTCAGTTTGAACATCACTCCAGTTATCCCTACAGTCTTTGGAGCTAGTCAGTTTGGTCTTAAATGGTAGATGTTTCACAGACGTGCCAATTTTATGTCTTTGTCTTCCAATGCATCCACTTCCACTACATGTAGTACAACCTTCATGCACCTGGCTGGGTTCATCGCTGCTAGTGGCAACCTCATCTGATTGGTAGAAGTATTGCTTTTCGTGCATATACATAGTTTTAAATATACCACTTGAGACAGCTTCCATAATAGTATTCAGACTGGCATGAGGCTCAGAGCAGTCTGCAACCAGAGACGGCTTTGCATCAACATTTACGATACTTTTACTTGGGAAGTCATTTCTATTTTCTATGAGAGTATTGCTGAGCAGGGGAGGAACATTCTCCTTGCTGTCAGATATTGGCTTTTCATTGCTTTGGCTACCATGCAATGTTGTTAGGTCGGTGATATGTTCCCCATTAGAATGTTGCATTGTTCCTGAGTCGTCATGCTTTTTATACACTTCAATCTTTGAAACCTTGTCAGAAAAGTACCTCCCATCTGTAGCTGTGACAAGGTCTTCAGGGAATGGTTCTGAAACAAATATATGAACAATCAAGACACAGTTCTTGGAAATTTTCCCAGTTTCTGCATAGAAGTGGAAGAAGTTTCATTGCCATAAATACAACAAGTGTCAGGTTAAAATTTCTACACAAGCAATTCACAGATGTCATAATCGTATTAACCAATAAATATCTCCGATTTCCTTTTGCAAATAACAATAGAATTTATATATATATGTCATAGATATACACTCTCTGACGTTGTCATACAGCTGAAATTGTGTAATTTCTCTTGTAGACTAGAAGCCACTCAAGATGCCAGGAAAACGGAAAACATGGCACACCTATATACTTTGGGTGCTACCATAAGATGGTGGAAATCTCTAAATATGTTCCGATATGTTTTACTGTGAGGAAATGTTACAACATAACCTTGTTATTGACCATGCGATAGGCTAATAGCCACTCAATAGGCCAAGATAATGGAAAACACGGCAATCCTATATACTTTGGCTGCTATGAGTGGTAGGTACACGTAGTAAATCTATGCAATAATTTCTAATGTGATGTAATGTGAGGAAATATTTTGAAAACGACCTTGCTGTAGATTATGCAAATTTGTTCGTACCAAATAATTTCTGCTTCAAAAAACATGGTAGAACTGTTCAGATACTACGTTATAACAATGCATTTCCAACAACTCGCCACTAAATATTGTACATTTAAAAAAAGAATGAATTACTCCCCATGTCTGGATGCATGGTAATTGCATATGTGTGTAAGAACAGTTAAAGGCAATGCAACAAGTACGTAAGTCAGGTGCCGAAGTGCCAAGCTGCAAGCTGTGTAAGCGAACGGGGAAGGGGTATAAGCTGCGTGGCTACGAGAAGTGAAGAAGAGCGATAGCCGATAGGGCAATCCTGGCACAGACACATTTGTATAGTAATGTTGGACGCCTGCATGCTGAGTGGGAGTGAAGGTTAGGATTGGGGTACAGGGAGGCATAGAGGAAGAGAGAAAGAGAAAGCAAGAGAGAGAGAGAGAGACAGGAGAGAGGGGGAGGAGAGAGCAAAAGAGAGAGGTCTTCAGCAAGCAATGGGATGCTTCGGTAGCAAGCCAATAAGGTGAGCCGCAGTGCGAGCTAATGGGAATTTATGCATGCAAATAACACAAACCCATTGTTACCCTCAGGTCGTGAGAAAGGTTTGTTACTTTTGTAACTTGTGATTTATGTGTGTGGTTATTTGAGAGATGAGAAAACATAATGTTTGGATTAGGTTGGTATAACTGCTTTTGGTAGTAGCAGCAGTAGTACATGTGGTATCTGGGCAAAGTTTGTATAGAAACAAATGAGGTGAGTGGCAGTGTGTTTGAGCTAGAAGTGGACCATTAGTTCTTTTGGTATGAAAACCATTTCTCATTCAGACGTTAACTGGCAAGTGCCTGGTATTAGGATAGTAGCTTGCAAATGTTGTTAGATAGGATTTGCATTAACAGCATGTATAATCTTTGCCTGGGGGTTGCTTGTGGGTGATGTTGCGTATGCGAGTTGATGGTTTCAATTTTGTCTGGTGTACAGGTTGAATTGTAAATCGTAGATTTTTGACTGAAACACACTGCTGCCTTCGGGTTTACCTAATTTATCCTACCTGTGTGACATACGAGTTACATTTCACTGCAGGTGACTGCCTGGTTTAGCAAAAACAATGCAATGTGCTACTATGACTTCAATCTACAGCCACGCTTACACTACACACTGAAGTAGTTGTTGTAATAATGAAACAAGTAATGCAGGCATAGAGATACTTTTCACTTGCTACCAATTTTTGCTTCATTTCTACTCCGAGCTAGACACAATATAAATATTATATATGGACTTCAGTAGACCATCCTCAAATACTAACTCATTTGGGGGCACTGAAATACTTAACACTTGCAATATGTATAGCACTATACTTCAGGAAAACGGTTATAAAGGTCGCTTGAGTTATGGTGAACATTTTCAGGTGATGGTGATGCATGAAAGGTTTATGGTGAGCGACAGATTTATAGTGAATCAGAAGCACTGTCATAGAACTTTGATCACAGCAGCCTGAAATGCGACCTAAGAGACCTTAGATATGATCATATCTAACAGTTAAATAAGGTTTAACAAAACACAGAAAAGAATGATTCCAAAGCAGTGAAAAATGGTACGCATAGGTAATTCCTTGATAGCCCCATAGAAACATCATTGATGGGAGAATAACACACCTGGCAATTTCTTCACGTGTGTATTACAGATTTCCATAAAGTTCTTGATTGAGCCCTCCTCTTTCCCAATGGTTGCAATGCTAACAGCTGCTCCTATGCTCCCTGCACAAGAAATTATCGACTGAACAACACATAAATCCAACATGGCTACATTAATTTCAATATAATGCATAGCTACAGCTATAAATATAATGTGGTAGTGCTCATCTGGCACAACACAGCAAAAACACAATTTTATTGATAGGTCCAAGAGCACAGAGAACTGCTCTGGTCTCTTCCCTTCTCCCAATGTTTTACATATATGTCGCCCCTTATATTCATTCTCCCTATCATTTCTCTCCCTCCATCTCTTCCATGTCTACTCTCTTCCCTTACCCTTCTCTATTTTGCCCGAATCCCTCCCTACCCTATAGAAAGGCGATCTTTTCACAAATGTTAAACTTAACATTTCCCTTGAATGATCATTATATACATGCTTGAAATTACTTAAAATGATAAGTGACACATAAAATCTAAATTTCTGGATATTTCCTCTCAACCTAACTACAATTTACATAGTCTCATCAATTTCACGAATCTAACCAGTTTTATTCGGTAACCTAAACAGTACATATACCAAATCGGCCAGCTCTGCCCACTCGGTGTAGATATGTGTCTGTATCATACGGCACATCTAGGTTCACTACCAAGTTCACATATTCGGCATCAATGCCTCTTGACGTCTGTAATATGAACACAATGTATATAAGTTAACTGCTTACACTTGTTATTTTATAATGGCAGAATGGTGCCTTGACAGATTCAGGAAAGGGCCACAGAAGGACAAAAAACCACCAGGGAGAGAGTGTATAGAGGAGCATTGAAAGCAACCCAGTGGGCTCTAGCTGCATATTTTGGTGTGTCAAACATTTATTTCTGGTGTATACTATGAGAAACAATTAGTAAAATACTGGCATGATGTAGATTTCAGCTGTTTTAACCATAAACAAGGTATAGGTTTTGTATGTAAGCCACACAAAGGCTTTGTTAGTTTAGCAATTTTACAATTAAAGTTTAGCTTTAAAAGTAAAACATATCTAAATTCATATCTCCATCATGAACTTTCAAGTCTTAAATTTGGTGATGTGACTAGACGAACGCATATCCCTTTACAAAACAATGCATGGTACTGCCACTACACAAAAGACAGACAAGATACGATACAAAAGACGATCATTGGCAAAATTCAAGACAGCACATATAACCCATGCATATATAGGCCGGGAACAGCAATGTATGAATTAGCAACAGTTACAGTTCCTCTTTAACAACCACTCAGACAGATGTGGCAGATAGAAGGAAGAAGCAAGATAAAATGAACTTTTCCAGAATAAAGATATAATTAGCACAGGTTAAAAAAATAGGAAATAATAGGAACTTGACACCCTGAAACAGATCATTATGTTTTGTTATATTTACCTACCAATAATCATATTTTAGCTGGACTGTGCATCTGTAATAAAGCGTAATGGTGACAGATGTCTGGATTTCCTGAGAGACAAATTAACCAACTAATCACGCCAACAGCAGTTTTCTACCAATAACCTATGGGTGCCAATCCTATCAGTACCAGTCACTGCAGATTCCACCTTCAGGTGCAGCGACTGTGGCCGAGACTGCCATTCTCGAGTTGGACAGTATACAGCCACAGCAGATGCTCCGCTGCAAAAAACTCTTCCTCAACTGGCGCAGATCCATAGTCTCGCGAGACTGGTGGATGCCTACTACCAGTCCCAGTGGGCCAACCTTTTCCTAACTGTACTGTACATTCAGATTGTGCATCGAATCAGGGCATACTGTGAGCGGATAGTGTGCGAGCTACATACCAGGTCCGTAGAGACTAGAATTCTGCACTGCAGCAGCTTTAACTGAGTCAAAATGTGTGTGCGCTGCTTTTGGTCCTGTGAGCCACAGATGTAAGCCGTAGGCCAGCCACGTGCATTTAGCTGCTCACTCAATGTCTGAGCCCTGCAACAAGTACAACACAAGCTTTTGCAAAAGTCTATACAATGTTCTCGTTTAAAAAAATTACCTTTCATTGTATTACTGTAATGAACAAGCGAACACATATCCTTCAATATTCATAATAAAATGAGTTTAATACCTACCTTGTCTGGTAATTAGAAAAGATCAAACACTGATGAAATGTGACAGTTGACAAAAGCTCAAAAAGTGCTTTCAGTTTGTTGTCAAATGCCTTCTGTGGAATTGGATGAAATGGTACTATATGGTAGTACTGTTGAACACCTACAACATATACAGTAGCACTTGTAGTATTACAGCAGATGGACATGGAAATACCTCACTATATATTATGCAAATTACAAAATTGTTACTGCTTAAAAGTACAGGCAAATAAAAGCATAAACTCCACGCATATAGTATTAGTATATATACACCAGTCCCTAAATTCAACAATCAATCTATCTATCCATCCATCCATCCATCCATCCATCCATCCATCCATCCATCCATCCATCCATCTATCCATTCACCCATCCACGCATCTTTTCATCCATTCATTAACCCATCCATTCTTCCATTCACCCACTCATCGATATATCTATCTATCAGTTACCTAATCCACCAATCATTCATCCATTCATCTACCCACTCATACATTCATTCATCCAGCCATGCACCTAGCCACCTAACTATCCATCCATCCATTCATCCATTCACCAAACTGCCCTTTCACTCACCCAAAGCCAACTCCCCACCTACCCACCTACCTTACTTTGCCATGTACCTACTGTCTAACTCTCTCTCTCTCTGAGGTCTGCTCTGACCTGGTCTACCTAGCTACCTACACATCCCTCTATGATCCATCTATTCATCCATCCATCCATAAATGCACTCGCCCAACCTCCAATCCACCTATCCAGCCATCCGTCCATCTACCTACCCACCCACCAATCCTTTCATTCACCCATAGATCCATTAGTCCATCTGCCTGCCTTATCAAACCTACCTATAAAGTTATATATATCTTATCGATTATATTTCAAACACTGCTTGCATGAATGTAATAATATGTGGACAAACGAGTTTCAATGATTACTCAAGCTTGCCAATTACCTAGGAGAGCAGGATTAGATGAATCAAGTCGTACGAACATGGGGTTCCGCATGTAGTGGGTGAGATGCTCCGCTAAATATTCCGGATAGGTGGCAGACAATGCTAATATCTGCTTGTTTTCTGGAAGTGTCGAGTATATCCAACTGCAATCAAAGAATCTCAGAAATAATAGCTAGGCAAAATCAATAATAAAATAAAATTTCTACTGATATCTTAGAGACCATTTACATGCAAGGGTTAACATTATGAAAATATGTTCTTTTGTTCAAAGGATACAGTCTGGCAAGCACTCTACTTATTCATCAATCGTGACAACCAGTCTAATCACCATAGATTAATATAATCCCCTCGCACAAATTTGAGTACCGTAAAACAAACAAATTTAGTAACTTTAGGCGTTGATATCTTACACACTTAGTGCCCTTCATCCATACAAAAACAAACTCTCAAAACGCAGACTTTGTGATTCACACAAATTTGAGTACCGTAAAACAAACAAATTTAGTAACTTTAGGCATTGATTTCTTACACACTTAATGTGAATGAAGATATGTATCGATCATATGAATGAAGAGCGCTCTTCATCCATATGATCGATACATATCTTCATTGGCCATAAATAAGCTAACTAGTGGTTATGTGACTGTTAAATTGTGCTAGCAATTTTTTGTCGAAGTGCAAACTCTCAAAATGCAGTTGTGATTTTGCTGAGTCTTCATGCCATTGTTTACTCATTTTGCAATTACTGTAAATGTAAATAAACAGTTGCTCCTTATAATTCCAGTGCAAATTTTAATTGAAATTGACCTGAAGTTTTGCATGTTTATCTCATTTGCAATTGGTACTTATTTTTTACATAAAAATACAATTTTTAAATATACTTTTCATAGAAAAAGTAGCATTGCCATTCTTAACCTATAGATTGTGTAACAGGTTAGAAAACATACTTAATTTGCTCTTGGAAACTCTCTTCTAGTAGCTTATCCGCCTCATCTAAGACAAACATACGTATGGAATCTGTCTTAAGGATCTGTTGCTCAATCAGCTGCATGATCCTCCCTGCAACAGAAGATGGCATATGTACTTGCCATTTATCAGGAATCTATTTCATATGCAGACACGGGAACAAGAGACAAACATGTTGTCATGTATTATCTATAAACTTTAGCACCAAATACCAAACACACTGTTCAATATCTGACACTTGACTTTATCACTCCAGGTTTGTCATACCAGGTGTACCTACTCGAGATGTAACACTCAATATATAAAATCTCCAACTTGTATACCAGGCATGTGTGTGTGTGTGCGTGCGTGTTTGTGTGTGTGTGTGCGTGAGTGCGTGCGTGCATGCACGTGTGTGCATCCCAGCTTTGTTTTACCAGTCAAATATATTTGCCAACAGTTTCTGGGAAGCAACCAAAATCGTAATTGTAAACACATAGGTTTACTACAGTCCTTGTAGTCAACTGTTAGTGTTAAATAAGAAGATTATGGTAACAGTATAAAGGAAAATAATTAGTTCAGCATGCATTTGTTTGCTAGTTATTTGGGTGATGTTTCTAATGGACAAAATAAAAACATCTCTCAAGCTACATATACTCATTTTGACCATAAATTTCACAAGTTTTTCCAATGCTCTTTGAACCCTGGCCAGGTATTTAAGATATAATCACAGTCGAGCATCAGATACCAGAATCAACTGGGTAGATTCTTTACTTGTGGACTGGTCCTCGTCCTCACCTGTGGTCGGTTAGCAGGTGCCACGGGCCACACTACATTCACCAGTGTGTGATATTACCATAATTTTTAGCTATGATATCGGGTGATTACCTAGCCTCAGAACGATAGACTTTTCTACACCTGACATCACAGTTGACCATTCACATTTATTTTGAAATAAATGGTCGATGTGCACGTATGTTTTTTTGCCATCCAACTCAAACTAGGTAAGTCATTGGGCCAAAGCACCTTATTGTTATGCAAAGCACCCAATTCTTTACCCCCACCCTTTTCTCACTATTGACATCAATGACTTAAATTCATTCAGTTTTCATTTATTTAAATCGAATTTGGAGGTTATTGTGGTGTTAGGTTCCAACATAATTATTAGTTTCCGTATATGGAACATAGACAGTTCCAAATATTATTCAAGTGTTCAAAAACTATGCATGCGAGGAAGTAGGCCTATAGAAACATTTGGAATATCAGAACAAGATAGCACAGTTGTGCTACACATTGAATGACTGGACAGGTTTGTTGGGCATCAGTCTGAAAGAAGAGTTCTTCTATAGAAGCACATGTGGGTAACCAAACTGTCACGACCCTTGCACAGTCAGCTGTAGGGTGTCACAGACAAAGCCATTCTCACGAGCTATTGCCTGGTCATGTTCTCTAAGGTGCATTTGTCGGCAGCCCTCCACACACTCATTTTCCAGTTCTCTATTCCTCTTCATACACATAATTATTATTAACTGCTCGCAACATCATTGAAACCAGCAGGACACTAACCAGAACGAGACGTAAAAAAATCGTACTTAATGGAAGAAGTCAATTCTTTTAGCTGAAATTGACCCTAAAGCTTACGTGACTCCCACTAAGACTCTAGCTCCACAGAACATATTAAATGATGATATATTTCAGACATTGGGTACTTGATGCTTGGTACTTTACTTAGACCCAGAGCATATTGAGATTGTAGATAACTATAAATCTGTGACAAGAAACGAGATGAAGTCTGGTGAGACAGTGGGTGAGTTGACAGCGGCAGTGCAAAAGCAACACTCAACTTTGCGACATTCCTGGATCTCCTGTTTGCGTAATAGATATGAGTGGGTTGCTGGAGTAACGGATCGAATCTAAACTACTAAACCAGATATAACTTTTGACTTAGCATGCAAAACTGCCTTAGCAATGGAGAGAAGTTAAAAAGCACATACCAGATCCAGTGGCAGATCTAGAGGGGGGGTTTGCAACACCCCCCCCCCCCGGTTCAGCCACTAACTAATGTTATGATAAGTAAAATAAGGCCAAAAATAAAAAAGTCAGTCTGCAGGCTGATTGAAACTGGGGATTTCTGCTGTGACTAGACATCTGCCTGAATTTTCCAGGTGGGAGGGGGGCATGCCCCCAGACCAGGTGCCCTAGCACCGCGTGACTTTGGCACGTCTTCACTCAAATATTAACCCCCCCCCCCGTCTCCTGAAAACTAGATCCGCCCCTGAGATCAGACTAAAACAACCTGGCAGTGCTGATGGTACATAGGTAAAAGGCAATTCCTAAACACAAGCACGACAAGGCAGAAAAAAGGTCTACACAGCAGAGTTTGGGAAACAGGACTATAATAACCTGATATCAAAGCAAGGGAACTCACAGGGCAAACGTCTGTCAATATAAGGACGCAGACTGTTATAATTGTGAAAAGAAAAGGCACATTGCATCAGCACGTAGAGCACCAAAGAATCCACCTAACCTGCTAACCATGATAAGCACAGTGGAATGGTGAGTATTCACAACCTGGAAGAACAATGAGCTGGCAGCGATCAACCCAAAATCAAACTCATGTATATCAAGAGTTACCTGCATGTCGAAATAGTCACTCAATGTGCAGATGGTATTAAGGCAAATGTTAGGTGAGACTGCAACTCAAACTGAAACAGCACACATATTTTCATTTTACCTGGAGTACCAACTGCTACATGGCATCTTTTAGCCTTCAGTACATCCTGCTGCAGAGTTGTTCCCCCAATGAAGTGTGCGCATTTAAGGTTAGGAATGCCACTGCCAATCATATGAAACACCTCTGTTATCTGAATGGCAATCTCTCTTGTCGGCGCAAGAACTAGCACCTGGAAAATTAAAATATAACAGAGTATGTCAATGTACATACATTCTCAAGCGCCCATTAAAGTATTTAGTAACGTTAATCTTGTGTCATTAGAACTAGAGAAACAGCAAGCAGCGAGCGAGAGACAGTGAGAAGCAGAGAGAGGGGGAAATCGATGTAGGGTAGAGCAGGGTAGGAGAGGGTGACAAAGAGGAGCAAACCCATGCAGGCAAAGTAAAGATAGATTTGAACAACAATGAACAGGAGTTAGGCTAATGATAGCAATATAGAGGTGGCTTCAATGGAATATCTTCTAAGGATGATTTATTGAAGGTAGGTGACACCCAGTGTGATAACTCTCTGGGTTACTGCACAAGAGAGGGAAACGGAGAGCTGGTAATTTTTTTTGCACAATGGGAAACAGGAGCAAATAAGAATCCGAAAACAGACATAAACATGTGGTAAACACCTATATTCTTGTAGTGGTTACCACAACATTATAACAGAGGGTAGGCATTCATGAGTATAATTTAAGGGTATAACTATAAGAACCTAAGATATATCTTAATTACCACTCTAAATACTCAGATGACCCTATAATTTCCATTACCACTCTAAATAATTACCTTATCACCTTATAGTTATACTCTTATACCACCTTAAATACCTCTACAACCTTAATTGGCCACGAACATAATCTCTGCTACTTTGTGTGGCTAGTTCAAAAACGTCAATTATTATCTGTATTACAGACTTTCAGTATTCATACCTGAGTAGCAGCCGATTCTGCCACCAAGTTCTCAAGGGCAATTACAGTAAAGACACATGTCTTGCCTGTGCCAGATTTTGCTTGCACAATCAGGTCTGAAAAATATAACCCATATGCAACATATAAATACAATTGCCCAAAACTAACAGAGTGATTAAATGATAAAAGTTGCTAATGAGCAATGTTTCAGCTATAATAGATTGTTATAGATTTTAACAATTTTCATTATTTCACATATTCCCTGATCAAGCCATCCCACACAACATCAAGTGTAAACATCAAACATCAAACACAACACAACATCAAATGAAAGTGTCAATGACACTGTAGCTCACCACAAAAAAGGACACAAATGAGTGAGTGAGAGGAAGTCAGTTTTAATTGAGCAACCATCGACAAACATTATAGAAACGAAGAGTACATATGGGAGAACTCCCATTATATACTCTTGATAATTATGTGTAATTTTTCATGTGAAAATAAATGTTTGAGATGTGAAAGTCTGAGATGTGGGCGAGTGATGGCGTTACACCTAAATGATCGCCATTTAACGTTTTTATAATATTCAGATTTAGGCACTGCCTAAAAGCGGAGCTCCTGATGTTTAACGTGTAAGATTGATAGGATACGCTTATTCCATGTAGCTGCTATATACCACGTGACAATGGTGTTTCCCTGACCATAACACAACTTTTGTCAAAGGTTAATTGGTTGCATGGAAGTGTTTACTTCGTATGAGTTTTTCTAGGCGGTAGCACACGGTTGCCATCTGTATATCACAATAATAATTTATAAACCAAAATGAATCACAATTTGTGACGGTAGATGGCGCTATACCTGCTTTGATGTTTCTTAGCGATGGCGTTCGAAATAAATAGGTTATGCTGCGTTCCAACATGTTTTGTAAAACTTTAGTCTAATATAGACGTTTTATCGGCAGGGTGGAAAGGAAATACCAATTTTGCATTACAGATATTGTCAATGAAATCTTGTAAAACAAACCAGACGAGTGTGACACCACTGACTGCTATCTGCGTGTCTATATAATATGATATATAATTGCCAAAACCTACCTAATTTGCATAATTTTTTTTTAAATATCAAAACCCCGGTAATACGTTTTTGGGCCAGCCCTTATTCATTCACATACCAAAAATGAGCAAAATTCGTTGAACCTGAACTGACAAATGGCAATTTCCATTTTTGCCAAAAAATTGCCGTGGCTCGAAAGTACGTCGACGGGCGTGCTCCAAAATAGGACGTTCAAACCTCTCCCATAGCAGTAACAACTATACCCAATTTCAAACATGTGGGTCAAACTGTTCCTGAGTTATCGTTGACCGTAGCCAAATGTTTACGGAAGGACGGACGGATGTACAACGGACAACGACCCATGGCAATAGCTCATCTTGACGATGTCAAGGTGAGCTAAAAATCAAGTCATCCACTTGTGTTATGCTACAGTTACACTGTATAGTGCCAAAGACCAAAATACCATTGACAATCTGCCTGATGCATGGTAAGAATTGAAAACAACCAATATGAATCGTGTTAGGCGAAAAATCTGGTCAGAATGTATGGCCGACTAGGCTACATGTCTGCGCACACCCAATTACAATAGCCACATATGACTGTACTGTATACTATATTACCAAGACATTACTAAAAGTAAGACGTATTTACATAAGGCCATGAGAATTGAGGTATGAGTTTACCGTCCGAGATATTTTGAAAAGTGAGGAGGCTTTTTTTCATTTTTCATTTTTCATTATTCATTTTTAATATTTGTAGTTAACCCATTGTTCATGCGACATCCGCATACATGTGTGTAATATTATAACCATTTCCAACTGTAGCCTGGCACGTGTTTCGGGATCGGGCTGTAAGTCGATGTACTCAGGATACGTCAGCATGCTTTTGCGCCCTAAACCAAAACCAAACCCAAGGTCTCAAAGAGCCAGAAGGGGATCAGGACCCCAATGAAGGATATAAATAGGCCCTATAGCATTTTTGTATTGGTAATGTATGTTTTAATCGCTCTGAATGGACAACTTGCATGGGTTTTAATGATTTAAAAATGAAAATAATGAAATACTTTTGAAATAATGAATATTTTCGGCGATGGCTCTGACGGCATGTGGGCGGTGGACGGTAAACTATTGAACACTCAGAGTGCTCGGGCGGACCAGTTTATCCTCTCTTAATAACATGGAGTGTAAAAGTGATATGGTTGGTGAGTATGAATCCCGTGTGTGGTATTTAATTAGCTTAACGCTAGTGCTTTCGGAAAAGATACATTACTGATTTTTTCAGCTTTCGCACCTGTATGCCTAGTGAGGTACTACGTTGAACTCTGTAATGTGTATGATACATATGCTCGTTTTCGCAACGTCACAGAAAATAGGCGCTAGTCCAATAACCTACTCTAGTGGTACAGTAGACGAATTCTGAAGGCTATGAAGTTGAAGTAATTTACTCGCTGGTCTAGCGCAACGTCCCACATGTTCTACGTCAAACATATGCTAGTTAACCTGGCCAACCTACTAACTAGTGTCTAGCTTCGACAAATTTCTTCGGGTTGGTATCTTACACGTCTAGATCTATTTTAATAGTATATAAGCCATATCTTATGCTCATTTCATTATTTTTGCTAGTTTTCAAGACAATATCAGTAGGACTCGATTTATTAAGAGAATGACCTGACACACTAAGGAGTCTTGCGTGCAGCGTAGTGTTTAAGTCAGCATATCGTCAGAGGCTGGCTTGGGAGCCTGAGTGATATAAACAGATTGGATATATACTTACCGGAAGGCAAATTGGGACACTAGTGACATAGGCTGGCGCACTAAAATTTTGACTGGGGCGCGACCTGCTGCAGATTCCTTGCTCGTCTCCGCATCAACGATTACTGGCTTATGATCCTTCCATTGGGGTCCTGGGGGTCAGATTCATCAGCTGCGTACGCAAAATCATTCTTAGCGTAAAATCTT